AGAAAAGTGCTTTGTCTATTCATCCTCCCATGGCCAGCAGCCAACTGAAGGAGCACATAACAACTGCACAGAGCTGGACTTGACTTGACTTCTTCTCCTGCTCCCTGCAGCACATTTATTTACATTTTATTTCTAATTTCCAATTGACCTCACACAGACCAAATGGGGATAGCCAAAGGGCTGGATGTGGCCTGGGGACTATAAAATACCCAGGTCTGATATAAGCTTTATGTTTAAGCTGCACACTTTTGGATTTTAGAGGCTAAGAAGCAGTATTAAGGAGTCACTATTGTGTGATGATACAATGGTTGAAGTAGGACCAAGAAAACCAAGGTTCAAGTCCACCCTCAGCAATGGATGACTTTGTCACACTCTCATTAATTCAACCTTCTTCATAGAATTTCTGAGAAGAAAATTGAAAGAGAGACGAGTGCAGTATAAGCCACCTTGAGCTCCTGGAGAAAAGATGGGCTATAAATCTAAAAATTAAATGAATGCATCTTGAGATCAGATGAGGCATTCAACAAGATGCTCTCAGTAGGAAAGTGTGGCTCGTTCTCATTAGGTCCTTGTAAGTAGCCTCAAGGATGGAAAGGACAGAACAGATGAAAGGTATCTACCACTAGGAAGATGGTTAGAAAACTTGAGGTTCCTGTTGGATACCTAATGAAACATGAAAGAGCCATATTAGTCTCTAGTAGCCAAAAAAATTAGAAAGAGACTTTGAGGACCAATAATTTTATTTTAAAGCATAAGCTTTGGTGACAAACACCTTCCCTTGATGCCAACTTTGTTGTCAAATATGGTTCTCAGCTGAGGAGCAAATTGCAGATATTGTATTAGGTTTAGGTACTTTCCTCCTAAATTTAGCTTCCCCTTGTTTTTTTTTTTTTTAATATTTTTAATTGAGTTTTTAAGTTTTAAAAATAAAGTAAAGAAAAATACAACAAAAAACAAAAATATATTAAAAACACGTAACAAACATAACATTACATCATATATTATTTTACAGCTTACTGTATCGACATGGGTATGTATTCTCTATTCTTATTCAATCTTTCATCTACATACATATATTTACATTAGTATCTATTTACAAAACCATCATTATCCAGTTGACGCTGTTCGGCAATTTACACTTCCTGGTTTTAACCTGGTTAAATTTACATTCTGAATTGTTATTTTGATTTCTTTTTTCTAACCAATGATATAATTTATTCCACACTCTATAATATTCCGACTCTTCCCTCTCCTTAATTTCCAGCATCATCTTATCCATTTCTGCACATTGTAGAATTTTTCAAATTACTGTTTCCTCTCCTGGTCCATTATTTTGTTTCCATCTCTGTGCAACAGTAATCCTTGCTGCCGTTAATATATGAAGTATTAGATATTGTAAAGATTTGTCTATTTTTGGGTTAATTATTCCTAATAAACAGAGTTCTGGTTTAAATTCCATTTTTAATCTGATAATTTCCTCCAGCCAATTTTTAATTTTACGCCAAATGTTTTTTATCTTGGGGCACATCCACCACAAATGGTAGTATGTGGCTATAGCTTCCCCTTGTTATGATATGTCACATTTAATACAAAAGAATGTGATTTGTGATCTATATTACAGCAGTTTAGTAGAGAACACAATCCTTGCTCTCAGCATTTAGTCTACTTCTCCATGACCATTAAAAATTTCTGTCTGGTGTCTGCTTAATAAGTGCACATGTGCATAACTTCTAATTTATTTAAGTATTTTGGAAAAAATATAAGAAAAATATAACTAAAAGAAGTAAGTAAAAGAAGCAAAAAGATGAATAAACAAAAAAATAACATACAAACAACAAATATGGGTAGATCAATAATCAACTTAAAATATCATAAATACTAGCAATATTGCAGTCTGTCATTAAGGACTTAGGATATTGTACAATATATTGCATCTTTTCTATTTAAAAAAATCCCTATTGAACTTTAAGCTGAATGCAACCGTGGAAATTTTAGTGGAAAAACACTATTAAATTCCTTTTGAACATTATATTTAGAAAGAATTGGTATTAGATATTTTAATGCAACTATATTACTCCAGTCTTGATTAATAAAATGTTTTTCTTAAAAATGCTGAAAATTGATTCCCCTTTTTTCCATATGTCATATCAGTGTTGTAAAACCCCAAATACTGCAAATGATTCATGGAAGAATGAAACGTATCTTGATCATTGTAATTCCTGATCAATCTGAGATATTCTTACTAAATTTCACTAATCATACATTTCTTCAAAAACATTAAACTGCCATTATATATACTAATGGTTGCAAATATTTTAGCTTTTTACTGTAAAAGACTTTTGATTTCCTCTTGGAAGAAAGGCTAACTGTATGAATATCTCCAGTGTCTAAAATAACCTACTTAAAATGTAAATCTGATGTAAGAATTGATTTAATTGAAAATCATTCTTGTATTATAATCATATATATTATTAGAGAGCCAGTTTGGTCCAGCGATTAAGGTACCAAGCTAGAAACTGGCTGTGAATTCTAGTTCCTCCTGAGGAAAGAAAGCTAGCTGGGTGACTTTGGGTCAGTCACTTTCTTTTTAGCTCAACTCAGCTCACAAGGTTGTTGTTGTTGTAGGGAAAATAGGAGAGGAGGAAGATGTGTTAGATATGTTTGTCACCTTATTTTCAAAAATAATAAAAGCAGGATACAAGTAAATTGGGGTCCCATCCCCAAGGGAAATACACTGGGGGGACCCAGAAGAAGGGCCTTCTCCGTGGTGGCTCCCTCTCTCTGGAACATCATTCTCTCAGAGATTAGAACGGCCCCCACTCTAATTGTCTTCTGGAAGGCACTGAAGACCTGGTTCTGCCAGCAGGCATGGGGATCCCATTGTGGGATGGAGCCCATTAAATGGCTCATGTGATTGGCTGTCGCTGGGGTGGGAGGTGCAGGGTGGGGGGTGATTTTATTACATTAATTTATTTGATTTTTTATTAGTTTTACTGTTTTTAAATGTGGTTTTTATATTCTGTAAGCCGCCTTGAGTGGCCATGGGCAAATAGATGGCAATATAAATTTAATAAATAAATAAACAAACAAACAGACATTTTGATATATGCCAAATCCAAAATTTCTTACAGAATTTTTAAAATATGATCCTTAATTTTTAACATTGGCTTAATGTAATGTTTATAGTTTTTTATGATCTCTAATTAATGTAATATTTACAGTTTTTTTAATGATACACAAAATTATCTTCTTATAATAATTTGAGGGAAAATGGAATATTCTTATTTTCCCATTCCACAACACTCAGGAAGAAAGGGATCGTATGAAGATTAGGACCAGGCAATACCATTCTAGCAAAGAAAAATATATCCTATTGATTGGCAATAAGGCATCAATGGGAAAATTCTTTGGAAAATTGGGATGATTTTTTCCCCCTTTCTCCCTTTTTATTATATTATCATAAAATATTATACATTGTTATTTTAATACTATGATATTTATATATCATAATTAAATTCTTGATATTCTTTTATTTAGAGTGCTTTACAGTATTCTAAGTAAAGAAGAAAAAAAATATTCTATTAATAATTAGGAATAATTAGGATACTACGTTATGAGCATTATAATTATTTGTAGTTTTCAGTCAACGTTGAATATAACACTGGAGAGGAAGAGATAAAGGAGCACACAGCAACATACATCAATGTATTTGTTATATAATAAGGGATTTGGTCTTAAGATAAATTATTTGATATTGAAATCTCCATTGTATTGTTACTTGGTATATACATTTGTATGGGTATAGTTTCTTCAGGGTATACACTACTGACGTTTTAGAGTAGTGAAGGAGATAATGAAGATTTAACTGTGAAAATTTTAACGTTAATTGAATCAAAACTGACTGTTTTCAAGCTAATTTCAACTGGCTTGCAGGAGAGGTATTTCACTCCAGTGATGCTACTTACACAGTGTGTCTATATGTGTACACATGTTCACACGCACATTTCATCATTAGATGGCACCAAAGCAATAGAACTCCAACCCTCTACTCCCATCTAGTAACTGTCTACTTTCTACAGCCCAAATGGGGGAAATGGGAATAATACAGCTTCTCCACACTATAAAGGCTGTTCTTGTTTCTAATTCTAATTTCCCTTGTTCCTAATAAGGAACTTTGACACCCAGTTCTTCTAAGAAACTAAAACAGTATTGGCAGGTCTTTTAAAAATCTACCTCCAAAAAAATTAATGGAATAGAAAAACTCATTTCCTGTTACAATAAAGAATATAATTGGAAATATACTTCCATGTTGGTCAGTTTCAATGGAGATACAGATTTGCCCCAGTGTGTGGTGGCTTCCCATTTTTCATTCTTTAATGAATGTGTGCATATATAGGTTATGTATGTTGCCAAGCGGGGTTTGCCAGGTGGCATTTGCATGGATGGTTTCTCACCCATGTCCTATTACCGTTTCAGATTTGTTTTAGTTTCAAAGTTAAGCTTTTACAAAGCCCTGATTATGGCTTTTCAACCACAATGGTTTCAACAAATCTCAAGGAAGTCAGTAAACCTAGCCATCGCGATTACCTACCATGATTTATGTCTTAGTATAATCGTTTTGGCTTTGGTTTCAGCTTGCTTATTACACCAAGTTGAAAAGAAATGACTCACAATGGTGTCAGCTTAATCAGCAGGTAAAACCCAGATTTTTAGGCCTTTCCTAAACTAATCTTTATTCACACATGGAAACTTAAAATAAGAATAACCCGATTCTTCTTATTGATCTTGGAAGGAGATGGGTAGAAAGCATATTGATGAGTGAAATGATTTTGCTTACTTTTTTTGCAATACATTTTTATTTTATTCAGAAAGTTAAAATACAACCTTCCTCCCCACCAAAAAAAGGAAAAATAAGAATTTTCGCAAAAACAAAACAAAATTAGACAAAACATTTAAAAATGTGCATTAGAAAAGACAAAAGACAAAAACACATGTACATATATTTTCAGCCCTAGTTGAATATTGATTTTGTTTATTTCACTGCAAATACACTTTGCATACATCAAGGCCAAATGATAAACTAATGACTCAATTCAAGTTGGATAAAAAAATCTATCATATTAATATCAAGACTTTTTTCTCCAGGAAACTGATGGCATTGATGTGGGGCACTGAAAGCACCCCACGTTTGTGGAAAACAGATGGGTTAAGCCCAAATGGCAGTCTCACAATAATGACACACAGAACACACTTCATTCTCTGGATGTTTCTCTCTTTCTCTCAGATTTAGATGGAATCTAAATTCTGTACCGCTCTCTGACAACTTGACCCCGGGAATCCCAAATATTTGTGAAATTCAATGAACCGCAGTGATGCTTGAAAGTACTCCTTGAAAATACCAGTTGACCATCTGTCTGCAATGCATTGCTGTTTCCATCCTAACTTCAGAGATCAGGGATCTCATTGTTATTCAAAGAAACCTGCACAAAGAACATCCACATCCACTAGAGGTATAAATAATTACTGAATTTAAATATATGTGCACATAACTACCATCCAAAAATACCATCCTTTTCTGAACTTAGACCAAATTATTGTTCCCTTTTACATTTCATCCTGCATCCAAAAACATGTTTTGTTTTTCAAATGATTGATTTCGTACATACAACTGACTGTGTAATGAAACCCAGAGGGAACATAAAACCAAACATTAGCTCAAGAAAGAGAAGAATGTCTTGCACGGCATGCAAAGAAATATGTTTCTTGAAATATAAAGAGAGCTTCTTAGAATCCTGTCTGAAATTAAAGAAATCTGATAGATGCAAAGGGGGATACTGCAAGCAAGTTGTATCAGTTCTTGACACCAAATATGGCTTTTCCCCCCATTAGATGAAGAATGCAGTTGAAATAAATAATTTCATTACCCTTTTCTTATTCCAAATACAAGTGTTGAAGCAATTTTGTATATTGAACTGTTGGAAGAAATATCCATCTGGTTCAGTTCCAAGCCGAGAGAAAGACATTGGAAACATGGAGGCTGATTGGAAAGATGGTTTAATGGCGAAGCAGAACCACCAAGCACATGTGATTTTGGATAGCTGAACACATAGAATTGAGAGTGAGAGGTATTTATACCTTCTCTTGGGCTTTGCATTGGACTTCCTGTTCCTGTACGAAAACATGTATTCTACTGGCTGCTGTACGGGTCATAGCTAGCTCTGTAGGTTGTCCCAGGTTTGGTTGAAGTTTGCTGGGTGATGCAATGTCCTTAGGAGATTGTGCAATGTGGTGAGCTCTGCTGCTAGTGGGTTAATCCTATTATGTCCTGGAGGGAACCCTTAATCCCATCATCCTGGAGTTGAAGGTCTTTTGTTTTGTAGATAGGATGGCCCAGACTTTAATGGGCACAAAATATCTGCTGGGGGCTATTAAGAAAGGTGGAGGATGCTTTCTGCTTCTAAAAAAGCATGTTTCTCGGTTTCTTATCCAGGGAAATATAACATTCTGCCTTTTTAATATTTCATTCTTCTAGGAGTAGGGTGGGTGCTAACTTTCTACAGAATTCAGTGGTTACAGATAGGCCTAAGCTTGGTTTTGCATGAAGTACCGTATTTTTCGGTGTATAAAATGCACCTTTTTACCCCCAAAAAGGGGGTGAAAATCTGGGTGCGTCTTATATGCTAAATGTAGCCCCGCCCACCCACTGGCCCCCACCCTTCGGCCATTTTTGGGCAGTTCCAAGCATCAGGGATCTGGGTCGGAGCACAGCCTGAGGAACAACCGTCTTCGGGATGGTCTGCGGGGGGAATCTGCCCAGCAGCTTCGGGGAATAAGGAAGTTGGTCACCCCAGAGCTGGTCACCCCTCTGGCCGTCCAGCAGGCAGCTTAGGGCAGGCAATGGCCGCAATGACTTCACTCTCCTGCAATGTGAGGAGCTGCTGCCTAAGCCCTCTGCGCCCAGGAGCCGAGCGAGCCGAACGAGAGCTCCTAAAGAAAAATGCCCCTCCTTTCCAGCCACCGCTGCCCAGATTCCCCAACACAATAATCAGAGCTGTGTTTCAGGCAGTGGGCGGCCAATATGCAGCGGGGAACTGGTAACGATTTTGAATTCGGGGAGGGGATTGCAGCGCTGCCGCCTGAAAGTGCTTTTCTTCCCGTTGCACATTCCCAATGGGCCTGATCACCTTGCCTCTGAAAATGCCAGCCACAGTTGCTAGTAAAACTTCAGGAAATCTGTTCTCTAGACCACAGTCACAAAACTGAAGTTCAACACATACTGGTCATGAAAGCCTACATCAGTGTATCTTGATTTCATGTTTATAGTAAAAAAACAGTGACTGAATTTAACAAGCTGGTTCCGTCAGGATATTCCAAGTCCATCTCCAGCTTTTTTGCAATTTATTTTAAACAAATCTGCTACTTATTTTTTTTTTGGGGGGGGGGCGGGTGTCGGGTGTCAAGGGATTGGTTTCTATTTTTTTCTCCTGGAGCATTAAATAAAATGTTCTAATTGTGAACAAATAAGAACACATTTACTATTTGTGTTGATGAAATAACCATGCAAATATACCAACAATATCACTCTAATACAAGAATGACTTTAAATGGCCCAAATGGCACTATACAATGTAGAGAGTCAGATTACTCTGGTGGTTAAGGCGCCAGGAGACCATGAGTTTTAATCCTGCCTTGAGTGAAAAGCCAGCTGGGGGTATCTTTGGCTAATAATTCCCTGTCAGCCTTAGGAAGCAAGCAATGGCAAAACATTTCTGAAATCTTGCCAAAAAAACTTCGGGGACCTGTCCAGGCAGTCACCAGAAGTCAAAAATGACTGGAAGGCAAAAAGACAAAGAGAACTCAGTGGAATTTCTGCAAGGGGTGGGGAGGGCATTCCTCCCTGAAATCTGACCAAGGCAACAGCAAGATCATGAGTAATATTCTCAGGTTATTCTGCTTGATTGGTTGATTCACCCTTCTGGGTTTGATCTTCTCCATCCCAGCTCATCTGTTCCAGTCTAGTTCCCCTCTTGGTTCTTCAGATCTCAGCCCTGCTCCAGGCAATTCTTTGAATGCATCCCTCACCTTTGAAAATTTGCCAGTCTCTCCACTGACTAAATGTTCCCCACCAATACTCCTGATTCTCTAACAACACGCTAACAATATGCTGTATGAGTTTTATTTGATAGATTTTTTTTCCTCCAGAAGATCAAGGCAGAGGTTCTTGCTGATGTTCACACCATCCCACTGAAAAACAAAACAAAACACAGTATTTCATTATCTTTTGTAATTAACCTATGTAAATGTGAGTTAATGACCACTTTGCTAGCAATTTACTCCCTTCATTCTTCATGAATCTTAGGTTGCACTGAATCACAAAACAGTATTATTTGTTTTTAAGTTTCAGACGACTACAGTTTTAAAAAAAATAGTATAGGTACAAAAACAGTAAATGTGTAAAACAGAGAACAGGACAACTATTAAATTCTCATCAATAATTGTGGTTTTATCTAATAACTGTTCAGATGGAACATGGCAAAAATGTTAAAGTTGTCCAACCTGGAAAAAAAATAATCTTGATATAGATACTGCTTTTTAAACATCTTATTGTTGTCAGTGAGATTAATTGCAGTCCTACCACAGATGCTAAAATGATGAGACCAAGACAGGAGATTTATCGATTTATCAATCAATGCCCCTTTCATCTTTTCATTCCCAGTGTGCTCTGATATGGTTCCATTGATGGGTTCAACTCCAAAGTAGCAATGTATGAATGGAGCACCAAAAGAGGGCATCAAGAAAAGGGTAAGATTACTAGGTCTGGACTTCAAAAGCCCATATGGCTGCTGTATGCAAAATAAAAGAATTGTTATTTTCTGCTATCATTAAGTGATCTTTTGTATTTTTGTATCCCTTCTCCACCCAAAAAAAAAATAATAATCAAGATTTGTCTATTGCATAGGGTTGGATATGTCAGCATATGGAGAAAAGCAAATGCATGGTTTTAAAACTGCAGATACCCCTCTGTGATATTATACAAAGTCTGTTTTAACTTGGCTCCATGCCCTTTGGAGGAGATGAGTAATTAGCCAGAAAAATGGATGGAGCCACATCAGGAACTCACACTGGCAATGAAGAGATGAAAGGGGCATTTAAAAGTACATTCAATTCCTTCGCTGCTTGGAGTCCTACAAAAACATTCTCTTTGACTTCCAGCATTGCCACACTTCAAAACCTTCATTTCTCCTAGGTGGAGGTGACATTTCAGATATCAATGAGAACAGAAAATTTTACCTAGAAGAGAACTCAAATTCCATTTTGTTGATGTTCTGAAGACTTTAAATCCCCACTCTTAAAGGCAGTATTGCTTCTTGTCCTTTAAGGAGCTGGTTTTGTTCCCAGAATCATGTTGCATATTAATAGAATAACTCTATGATCCTAAGAACATGGCTTCTTCAATCCAAAAACATTTAGAGTTCTCCCCAGCCCTATTAAGTACCGATGTTACCAAAACAAATTTCTCCTTTCAAAAACAATGTGCATACAAGGTTTGTAACATTTTTTGTTTGTATTAAAGGAATCAACAAATTAGTCAGAAACAGAAAATTGCAGACTTGGTCAGAAACAAAATTGCAGAGGAATAATGTTAAGGCTTTGCAGTTGGGGTGAATCATTATCGTCTTGTCCTGGAAATCTAAAATAAATACCCCTCTTGCTCAATTTATTTAAAATTACAACAACACTGCCACACACCCCACATACCCACTCAAATTAACATAATGATTGGATGGATGGTTTGCCAGCACTCAAAGAAAATAGGACTAAACAATGGTGAGCCAAGCTTTAGGATAAACAACATGTTTCAGTTTTAAAAAATCTGTCTAGGCTATGATATTTTCCTGAGATTGCTGCATAAGGGCTCCAGCACAGAACTTAATAATTACCTGAGGCAAAGTTTGGGCTTAGTGTGCAGGTAAATATATTTGCTTATTCATAACAAGATGCATAACTAGCTGTTGCTCTTTAAATTGCTGAATTCATTGTCTTGCTGAAAGAGGAAGTGTGATAATTCCCGCCTTCTCTATTGCAGTGGAATACCTAGTAAAAGATAAGGAAGCAAACTATTGATGTTTAAATCATCCACATTGCATGAAGTTTTCAAACAAAATCGCTAGATGCTGAAATGACAAGAATGTTCCTGAGCCAACAATTTCATTCTCTCTGGAGAACTCCATTGATTCACTTCCACCTAGAACAGAAGCCTTGTGTCTGTTACAGTATATCGAAGCAATAGCAATAGTACTTAGACTTATACATGGCTCCATAGTGCTTTACAGCACTCTCTGGGCAATTTACAATGCCAGCATATTGCCTCCAACAATCTGGGTCCTTATTTTCCTGACCTTGAAAAGATAGAAGCCTGAGGCAACCTTGGGCCTCATCAGGATCGAACTCCAGGCTGTGGGCAGAGTTTACCTGCAATATTGCATTCTACCCACTGTACCACCAGGGCTCCAAAGAAACAAAGCAATATCCATGTCACCTTGCAGCATTTTAATTATGGACAGAAGTCAGGTGGCCTAAGTGTTCACTGGTTAGAGCTCCCTGAGGCATTTCACTGTTGGACAGGTCCAGCAAATCTTGTTAAATCTCATGTTATTCTTTGCTAGGAAAGAAGTAATGATTGCCAATCAGTGGTGGAATTCAAATTTTTTTACTACCGCTTCTGTGGGCATGGCTTGGTGGGTGTGGTGTGGCTTGGTGGACATGGCAGGGAAAGGATACTGCAAAATCTCCATTCCCACCACACTCCAGGGGAAGGATACTGCAAAATCTCCATTCCCACCACACTCCAGGGGAAGGATACTGCAAAATCCCCATTCCCTCCCCACTCCTAAGGGAAGGATATTGCAAAATTTCCATTCCCACCCCACTCTAGGGCCAGCCAGAGGTGGTATTTGCATGTTTTCCGAACTACTCAAAATTTCTGCTACTGGTTCTCCAGAACCTGTCAGAACCTGCTGAATAACACCCCCGTTGTCAATGTATGCAGATCAGCTCTGGATGTGACCATGAAAGCAATAATATCATGTGGCATTCTTGCAATCATTGATTTCTTTTCTTTTTAAAAAATTATGGCATTCAAAAAAGCATAACTAATTCACAAGTTGCAATATAACAAAAGTGGCTAAATCAACCTTATCTTCCAATGTTGCTTCTGTATGGTTCTCTCTTTAATTATTACTTTCTCTTTAAGTGATTCTTCAAAATAATTCAAATTCAGTTTTGTTATAGTGAATCTTAGTCAGAATAGCCAAGACACAACTCCAAAATATAAGGGGGGAAATATGTTTTTATGAAATGTGACTTCAATTTAATGAAATGTTGCCATGTAATAAATATAGCATTGCTTGAAGTTTCTTATTAAGTTGTAACTTGTTACTGTAATAAACCAATGTTTTACTTTCTCCAAAAGACATTTTTTTTTTTAGAATAATGTATTGAGGCAGAAATAATTTCATCTCCGATGTTTAACATACGTAAAGTTCAGTTTTTTCCGATTTTACACTCTGTATAACATTGGACACCCACAACTGTAAAAGGTTTTCTAAAAGTTTGGAACTCAGTGACATACAATCCTCTTTTCCTTGAGGCCAATAGCAAAATTCTCAGTAAAATTTAATAGAGCAGAATTTGGTTTTGATGCATCTGGAACTAATAATGATAGTGATAATAATGATAATAATGGGAATGACATTAATGATAATGATTTTCTATCTTTTGAATGAAGATTCAAATGATTCATACTTAGGACATAAAGGACATTTATGTCCTAAGTATGCCCATACTTGCAAGGGCAAATACTATATGCCCTTGCCCAGAGTGAGACCAAACATTCTCCTTCTAAGATCTATAGACAAAGAAAAGGAAATTATCTCTCAGGTTTTTTAATGGATAGTTTTCTATATTCGTAGTTCAAAACATTTTTACTGAGAGTCTAGAGGTAATGAGAAAGTTAGGGGTTTTTTTTTTTTTTTGAGAAATTGAGTGGAAAATGAATGATACCCTGATTTCATGGTATAGGTAATATTATATAATTTCCTTTGCATTCGTTTTATTTTTAATGTTTTTATGTGTATAACTGCAGAGGAATTGTGTGTGTGTGTGTGTGTGTGTGCGTGTGTGTGTTATGAACATTAAATATATATTACCAACTAGCAAACCCCATGACTAACACTAGCGCTGGAATTTAATAATAACTGGACAATCATCCAAAGTAAACTTTGCAGTCCCTTTGATCTCAGTGGGAAAATTAAACATGTGCTTATGGTTGCAGTTCTGTACTCATACGCTTGGAAGTAAATCCTGTTAAAGTAATTGATAGCATTTGGCTGCATATCTAAAATCAATGGGAATTGTTTCAGTTTGGTAAGAACAAAACTGGCATTTCCCCTTATATAGAACTACTATATCTGGGCTGCAAAAATCCAAATGGTAATTAGATGGCAATAAAAACAAAGAAACAAACAGAAATACAGACAACTGTACCTCTTTGCTGCCATATAGTGGTTCTCCAGATTTTTGCAATCCAAATATGGTGCCCACCCTTTAAGTTAAGGTTTTCATACCAAGTTGTTTGGTGTAGTGGTTAAGGCACTAGTCTAGAAACAAAGCCAGGTTGGTGATCTTGGGTCGGTCACTTTCTCTCAGCCCTGGCTAGGATCTTGATGAAAGGGTAGTTGAATCATGCCATGGGATGAATTGTGCAGTCTCTCTTGATGTTGAATTATTTCAAGAATGTTCTGGAAAGAGAAACCCATTTTAAAAAGAGCCATCATCTCTTCATCCTTCCCAGTTAGCGAAGGCAGCAATCAATCACTCTGTAAAGAACAGTCAGAAACTTGTGACAAATTAGAAAATAGAATGATTGTGAATCTAGACACCTGACATGGGAATGTAGGATTGCTTCCCATCTATTATAATGTTTGAAGTGCGCCTCAGTCTGTGGCCAAACTTGTAAATAAGCACAAATATTATAAAATACTAATACTGTAAGATGAATAAATAGTGCAAACCTGGAATTTATCTTCAATAAAAGAATTGGGAGGTAGAAGCAGATGTAACACCTTCATATTTATATTGTATGTGTTGAAAATGCAATTGGTAATTGGTAGAATTGGTAATTATATGCTTTTGTCTGTGGGGTATGTTGTTTTGGTTTATCCAAAAACGGACTCAAAATCCAAAATTGGTAATTAGAAACAGACTCGGTTTGTCTCTTTCTGTATCACAGGTATATTCTTCCCTGGGGGGGCAGATGTTTCCACACAGGAGCACAATGATCCCAATGATCAGCTGCCAAGATTGATCCTTTGCCATTGGACACATAAGCAACCTCCCTGTTTCTCCCTGGAAACAAAAGGTAAACCTAAATTGTCTAATAAGGAGAGAAGGATAGATCCTAGAGCTGCATGATTGTCATTGCTACCAGCCGTCCTATAGCTTGTTCATTAATGATTTACGCAGATGCCTTGAGACTGAACTGCTTGAAAAAGAACAGAATAGTTTGGGGATTTTGGTTTATTTTGGTTTTTGCTAAGTAGAACACATGTATCAACAATGTCCTAATTATTGCCGAAAGTAATGGACAAGTTCTATGAGCGGTTAAGTAGATGTAACTTTTTAAGACCGAGCCATTAAACATTAATCAACAATCAGTTTATATATGATTGAAAGAAGGAAAATAAAAAGGCAGGATTGCTCTATCTCTACCTATGAATTCATTTTCCCCAAAGGGTGTGTTTTGCCAAAAAGTGGAAGTAAACACCAGAAACCATCAAAAGAAAAAGAAAGAAAAAAGTTGCAAATTGTGGTCAAATGACTCCAGGACCCTGTGAAAGGCTATAAAAGGGAGCCAGTTGCCAAGCACTCAAAATGCAACTGTGTGACCTCAGAGGTATGTGCAGCTATCGTAATTTTGGAAATGAATCATAACTGGCTTTTGAAGGATCTGTTGTAACTTCAAATGGTTGTTAGGTGATTAGTTGTACATCAATGACTACCTACTGCAAAACTTCATCTAAGCTATAAAAAAGTAATGGCATGGCTAAACGTTTCATAGAACTAACAAAGATTCTGGGAACGTAAGTTTCTTTTTCTCTCTAACCATTTAAAACCATCACAGCTTTGACCAATTTTTAAAAATTTTCTTTGCTCTTTTCTTAAATCAGCCTCAATTCCCACAGTCATTTTCAAAAGATGTTTGTGATTTTCAATTTACTCATACAAACTAGCACAACTTCTCAGTGGTGAAATCCAAATTTTTTTACTACCGGTTCTGTGGGCATGGCTTGGTAGGCGTGGTGTGGCTTGGTGGGCATGGCAGGGAAAGGATCGGGGTGGATTCTACTTACCTTTACTACCGGTTCACAATGGGGTCGCACGCGCATGCTTGCTTTGCTCACGCATGCACAGAAGCATTTTCATGACATCAGGGTCAGTGGGCGGGGCCTCCCACCGGTTTTACTACCGGTTCTATAGAACTGGTGCGAACCGGGGACAACCCACCACTGGGAAGAATACTGCAAAATCTTTATTCCCACCCCACTCCAGGGGAAGGATACTACAAAATCCCCATTCCCTCACCACTCCTGGGGGAAGGATATTGCAAAATCTCCTTCCCACCCCACTCTGGGGCCAGCCAGAGGTGGTATTTGCCGGTTCTCCAAACTACTCAACATTTCCGCTACCGGTTCTCCAGAACCTGTCAGAACCTGCTGGATTTCACTCCTGCAACTTCTTCAGCAGAAGTGACAACAGGACTTTGTAAAAGACCCCCCCTCCCCCCCAAAAAACCCCTCATTTTTTAATACCTTGGCCCAGGTAAACATCTAGGGTATCAAGACTTTAAAGTCCCCACAAATCATTTAGAAATTATTTCTTGTACGGCTGTAGAACTCCACGTTCAATCCTGGAGCTGTCACCTTTGACAAACGGCCTCCTCACAAGTGTAATAAACTCTAGTGGGGCTGGATGTCAGCTAATTTGGTCCCTTGGCTGCAGGAGAGAAGATTGTGATTGCTTTTTTTTCCCTCTCTCTTAATTTTCCACAGTCACCTCAACTTTCCCTCACATTCCCCTTTTCCAATTTCAGGAGGAAGGTCACCGTGTTCTACGAATAGATCTGCAAGCTTGTGAGGTACACCCTAGCCTGATTGATAATGAGGAGACATGACGCAGGCAAGCTCTAAGCTTTATAAAGAACAGCCATTGGCTTTCTGGTCACATCCAAAAATGGCTGTCAGACTCCAAAGGCAGTAGGATTTATAGCATTGAAATGAAGCAGCAGCACATATCCATTAAGGAGCAGTGCTGGTGGGGGGAAAAAATGGTGCAATGAAGTGTTTAGATTAGAACCTCGTTTCTAATGTTGCCTCCCTTGCTTTGTTTTGGCTTATTGGAAAAGCAAAACATCTGTGGTTAATAAAGTGCAGTTTCATCTAGCCTTCGTGAAACATTTAGGAAAGATTCACCTGGCTGCATTACCTAGAGATGTATGCAATACTTGCCAAAGATCCTGGCAGCCGGAGGATACAATTGTTTGTCAGCATAGCCTGTAGGTTCTTCTTGTCTTGAGCTTCATATTGAAAAACATGATGTCTTCCCCTCCTGGAGAGAAATGCTCTCCAAAGAGGACAGGAAGGTCCTGATACTAATGTTAAGAAGCGTCTTTAACATCTTCCCTTTGACATCTCTCTCCATACTTCAACCATGCCCTCTGTGCAATGTTTTCCTGTTCCCTTCTCCTGTCCCTTTTCCCTCTTTCAGCAACAGCTGGATAGGTGCAGCAAGATTTTACTTGTGCAGAAAGTAATGTTGCTTGATTATCACCACTGCAGAAACAGATTTTTGCAGGAAGAAAACAAAATGGAAACATTACCTGCATGATAGCAGGATACATTTTTCATAAGGTTTTCATCAGCAGGAGCAAAACCCCATGATTTTCAAGGCTGGTTATAATACAGTAGAATATAAGAAAGTATGTCACCTGCCACTGTCAGTGATAAACAGGAGCCAGTTCTTTGCTTTCTTTGTCATTATAACAGACGGGACAGACGGAGCAGTCAGCAATTTTTCCTGCAAGCTAAATCTGGAGATCGGTTGACCTATAAACTAGTCACATACCTTGTTGGCGTAGATATGGATTCTTCTGTGTTCTCTAATTCAGTTTTCTATTTTCATCAGGAATTCAACCTGAAGCCATGTTCCTGACCTTTAGAACTTCTTGCTTCAGTCTTTCTGCAAATCAAACTACAGAAATTTTACAGCTGGAAAAAGCTATATGTATGCTAATTTTTAGTTTAGATTGTCCCGGCTAAAGTATAAATATCTGATTAGTCCACCTATTAGATATACAATTACAATATACAATTTGATGTAGTACAGACTGTCCTCAGATACAAGCTCACATTATTAATTTAAGTAAAATATCTTTAAAAAAAAACAACAACAACAATGTTATCACAAGATTGTTGCTTAGTGTAGGTCTGTGATGGCGAACCTATGGCACAGTGCCACAGGTGGCATGCTGAGCCATATCTGTGGGCACGTGAGCATTGCCCAAGGTCAGCTCCAGCGCACCAGCCAGCTGATTTTTGGGCCTTCCGGGCCCACTGGAAGTTGGGAAATTGGCTGTTTCTGGCCTCCAGAGGGCCTCCAGGGGGCTGGGAAAGGCTGTTTTTGCCCTCCCTGGGCTCCAAAAAAGCCTATGGAGCCTGGGGAGGGTGAAAAACGGGCCTACTGGGCCCACTGGTAATCTTTTTGCCATTGTGTGCCAAAAGTGGGGGAAGCACGGGGGGAGGGGTCGCGTGCACATGCACAGGGGGGTGGGACTTGGGGGGCATTGAATTATGGGTGTGGGCACACACATGTGTGACCCCCCTGCACTCCCCCTGCTTTTGGCACATGACAGCGAAAAGGTTAACCAACACTGGTGTAGGGACACAAAACCCTCTACAGGCTGAAGTCAAAGTCACACCAAAAATTTAAGTACTCTGCTGAGATTGAGTGAAGTTTCAAATTCAACCTGGCAAGTTGGGTAGGATCCCACAGCCAGAGCTACCATATAATGAGAAGTATCTATTTGTGTCATATACTTGGAAAACCTCTGATGTCATCAAGACATACTATTTTTAACATCTGCTGGTTAGGACAGATGTAGTCCATCATGTTTTCAAAATGAATTGAAACCCCCCACAGTGGACAAGGTTTGATTCTATTATTATTATTATTATTATTATTATTATTATTATTATTATTATTTTGTCATAACCAGAGTCCAAAGGATCTGCAATAAGGAACCTTAGAGATGGAGCATTCTTTCACAATTCATTGACTTGGAACTTAATTTAAGGCATGTGATGAGATTGTTTTTCTGAGTTTGCCTCATCACCATCACCATCATCCACCACTCTTTCACCTAAAAAATAAATACTTCCTGGAGTGGCTTACAAATACCAGCCAAAAAGAAAACAAAACAAATTTTTGCAATTTTTATAATAATGTTGATATCTTCTCCTAAACAGAGCCATCATGACATTGGGAAAAAATAGCAACTCTTCACTATCTTCCATGTGTAAAAAGGGAAGTGGATGGAGAAGATAGTTTCGCTCAGATAACCATTAATGAATTTAGCATTGTTCTTAGAAAAAGGAGGACAAGAAGAGATTGATTTAAAAAAAAAACACCTGTGACTGGTATCCAGAAAATCTCATGTATTAGTGAAGGGTTGAAATGTGGGATTCTCAATGCCCTATGAGGTTGATTGTTTTCTTGTAGACTAGGTCAGTGGTCACCAACTTGTGGTCCATGGACCACTGGTGGTCCACGAGAAAATTTTGGTGGTCCGCAGAAAAATTATTTGCATTTTTTATATTGCACTAAATCAGGAGTCCTCAAACTATGGCCCCTGGACCGGATACGTGCAATGAAGGCTTGTGCTGCTGCAGAGAGTCTTCCCCTTTGGGGTCTTTTTGTGCGGGTCGTAGGGGGGCAGAAATTGCTACTTGGCATCTACTTCAACCTCCTGGTATGGGGCTTTGGACGAAGGCTGGAGAGAAGCACCACTGGTGGCGAAGAGCCGGAGAGCCTTGTTCTAGTGGGACTGCATTATGGTCTGGAACTGGCTGTCCATCTCAGCCTGCTGAGGCTTCAGGCACCAGTACCTGGCCTTGCACTCCTGCAAGTCTTCCCTCTGCTTGGAAAGCCTATGCGCATAGTCCTCAGTGAGATCCTACTGCTGAGCCTCCTTCTCAGTCAGATCCAAATTGAACTAAGCCAGCTATTTTGCGGTGGTGGCTGCTTAGCTCCAACAACTGCTTCCTGTTGGGGGCCTAAGGAGCCCAGGCATGGAGGTGAGGAGTGGCTGGCAGGGGAGGGGTGAGTAGAGTCTGGTGAGGCACCCCTTGACATGAGTGACATCGAGTTGGCCATCAAGTTGGCCACGCCCATCCAGTTACATGACCACCTAGCCACACCCACCCAGCCGGTCAGTAGGCAGATCATATTAGTGGTCCGTGGGATTTAAAATTATGAATTTAGTGGTCCCTGAGGTCCAAAAGGTTGGGGACCCCTGGACTAGGTAATGTCATCAGTGCTAGAATGGAGTGGGGTTTGCTCTGTTTACATATTAGCAGCTTGCTCTGTCAGTGTTGGTGTGTCAGGCGCAAGCAACCAGATCCTCATGTGTAGAGTTCAAACTAACTACTTCATTATATTCTGCCTATAATAAAGGAATCTCTCCAGCCTTCTCTTGGGAATAAACATATAAGGTTCCATGGAACTTAGAAGAGTCAGCCCTAGGTCTCTTATGACTATGTAACAACTCAAAGCTATTTTCCCACTCAGTCCCTCTTCCTTGCCTGGCTAGCAGTTTCCTGAAATGGCAGGAGTGTTCTTGGTTGTTTCTTGTTGTTTTCTGTTACCTCTTTTGTCTGATGCTGTAATGCTAATAGCTGACAAATAATTAAATCCTGGAAGGTTTCTGGAAGACAAGATTTGGGACTCCCACTTTTCATTCCTGCAGATAGCAGCAGTTCATTACAAATACAAAACATTTAAAAGCCTTATTTTTTCGTTTCATAGACTTTGTAAAATCTCATCTGGGTTATATGCTTGTTTGAAATGCATGACATCCACCTTATAATTTTGTTTCCCACAAAAATTCTGCTTTGGAATTATACCAATGGTGTACCCCAGTAGGTTTCCTCCCGATGTTACAATGGCTACAATGAATGATGAGATTTCCAAAAAATCCCCCTACCCAATAGTGAATTTTAAAGGAGAGGGGCATATGAACATAAATCATGCAAGTAAAGAACATAAATCATGCAAGTAGGTTGAATGTGATAGTAACAGGGTACTTCATAAGTTTCAGTAGTAAAACAATCAGAGATAGGATCAAGAATAAATGAGTGTGAATTAATATTGCAACGCTCTCTACATGGGGCTCCCCTTGAGGAGCACCCGGAGGCTCCAACTGGCGCAGAGTGCGGCCGCGCGGGTGGTAATGGGAGCGACATGGCGTTCCCATGTAACACCTCTCCTGCGCGAGCTGCACTGGCTCCCGGTGGTCTTCCGGGTGCGCTTCAAGGTTTTGGTTACCACCTTTAAAGCGCTCCATGGCTTAGGACCCGGGTACTTGCGGGACCGCCTACTACCACCAATAGCCTCCCACCGGCCGGTACGCTCCCATAGAGAGGGGCTCCTCCGGGTGCCGTCAGCCAAACAATGCCGACTGGCGGCCCCCAGGGGGAGAGCCTTCTCTGTGGGGGCACCTACTATCTGGAACGAGCTCCCCCCAGAGATACGGAGGATCCCGGATCTGCGCACCTTCCGCCGCGCCTTAAAGACCTTACTATTTCACCAGGCCGGCCTGGCCTAATTTTCCCCCTCTTTTATAAAAGATTTTTAAAATTTTAAATATTTTTTAGTATTTATATATTCAATTTTAAATTGGTTTTAAAAGTTTGGGGTTTTAAATTTGTCGGGGCCAAAATTATTTAATTTGATTTTATTCTATTTTTTAAATTTTGTATTGTATGTGTTTTTATTGTTTGGCTGTGCACCGCCCTGAGTCCTTCGGGAGTAGGGCGGTATAGAAATCTAATAAATAATAATAATAATAATAAAAAAAATACGACTGAGAACACGCATGAATGACCAGTATGAAAGAAATACTCAGATATTTATGGAGATTCAGGTGATGGTTATCCCAAAGATAAATGAACCTCCCTCAACAAAGGGTGAATATGACACCATCTATCTCCTATTTACAACATAGTCCTTTCAGCAGTACCAATAAGTACACATTCATTTACACTCTGATTCAGGTGACTCTGAGAATACAACTAAACTCCCAAGTAGCCTCAACAACTCTCAGAAAGCTAAGGACTGACCCTCAGAGTGCTTAGGACCAGATGACTGCAAAGAATATAAATCCTTCCATTCCCCTCCAATCAGTTAGAACTGAAGAAGCTTCTTGGATGAGAAGCAAAATGTTTTCAAAGAAAATCCAGTTGCCTTTTGAAGAAAGCACCTTTGGGATATACTCAGGTGGTTTGATCACAGGAGAAAGTGAATGAGAAATTGCAGAACAGATACATGAAGGAGATATGAATGGGTTGAAGGAATAATGAAAAAGTCATGACTGGGTATAGCTAATAAGATCTGGGAAAAGATCTTATTTAAAGAAAATAGTATGTGGATTTTAGTAGGTTGCAAGGATAGAAAAATATGGGAAAAGATAGCAAATATTGTTTAATTATATTCCCTTTACTCCTTTCTCCTGCCTCCCATTCTTTTTCGCTTAGTACTCTTTTTGTGATTTTTGCATAACATTGCTTGCCTCAGAAGGGAATATGATAGTTTTGTATGCACTATGCATGGATGAATTTTTACTTCTAAATGAAGAGAAAGAAAGAACATCTGATACTAGCTAGATCTTTCGAAACTCTTTCTAAACTAATTCCTTCCATATCTGACTTAGAAAGGGGCAAAGTAATGTATACTAAAGGTATTCCAGGAGATATGGGGGATAGTTCCAGGAAGCCATTAAATGTAAAGCCCTTATATATCTCTACACCAGCTGCTAATCTACATCAAGCTGTTGCTGGGCTATATTCATCTCTTCCTTAAAAAGAAAAAAAGGAGAATAAAAGACATAGAGCCACTCCTTCCTTCCTGCTCTTCTCAGCATTTCAATCCTTGGTGCTTCTTTGATTGTTGCACGGATTGTATCA